GGCCGTCGGCAGTTGCCGTCAGCAGGTGCATTTGCACAGCGCGAAGCAACTTGTTGTATGCCATTGCTCACTTGAACATAGAGTTGTCTTGCTGCATTTGCTTGGGAGAGGTGGGGAGATATTGCTGCTGCGTGCTTCCTTGATCGCAAAGCATGCTGGCAAAGGCGTAACTTGAGCGCCCTCCAAGCAATGTCATTGCCACATGCCAGTAAGAACAGACTGTTGCCTCCCCATGGTTGTGAGTAGAGCGCACTGAATGAATGAAAATAAGTAGGGACAACCAATTGATATTAATACATATATATATATATGTACATGATCTATATAATATCTACCAAGCTGCAACTAGGATGCTCCTTGAGATGATCGTTGCTTTGGATTACCTAGCAGCTACCAGGGCGATGCGGTGTGTGAGGCGTGGAGCCATCCATAGGGATGTGCTGCACAGCTTGCATCACGGGCCGATATCCTGGTCACCCGATGGCTGCACAAGTTGAAATGAGCAAAGGCCAGCAATGAACAACTATAAATGTTTCATGCATTTCTGTGTTGCTTAAACCACACAACTATGTGCTATGTGAGTTGCGTGTGAGCTCAGATTCACGGTCCGGAGGCCCAAGCCACAACCTTCATTGGAGTTCGCTCGTTTCCTTGAATGATTCTTGGTGTGACCAGGTGCATGTGTAGATGCGAGTGTGGATTTCGTTTGGACAAAGTGCGAGAATCGGGAAGCAGGCATGCATGCGGTTGAAGGGTGGAGGGGTTGAATATCGCAGGAGCGCTTGTTCACATGTTTCAGTGCAGCGCAGTTGTCCGACACGCATGGGGTCATATGGTTAATTGGAACTAGGTTCACGCAACAACAACAACAACAACAACAACAACAACAACAACAACAACAACAACAACAACAACAACAACAACAACAACAACCAACAACAACAACAACAACAACAACAACAACAACAACAACAACAACAACAACAAGACGACGACGACGACGACGACGACGACGACGACGACGACCACAACCACAACCACAACCACAACCACAACCACAACAACAACAACCACCACCACAAACAACAACAACAACAACAACAACAACAACAACAACAACCAACAACAACAACAACAACAACAACAACAACAACAACAACAACAACAACAACGACAACGACAACGACAACGACAACGACAACAACAACAACAACAACAACAACAACAACAACAACAACAACAACAACAACAACAACAACAACAACAACAACAACAACAACAACAGCAGCAGCAGCAGCAGCAGCAGCAGCAGCAGCAACAACAACAACAACCACAACCACAACCACAACCACAACCACAACCACAACCACAACCACAACCAACGTAGCAAGAGTAGGTGGTGGTGATTGTAGAAGTAGAAGTAGTAGAAGTAGTAGTAGTAGTAGTAGTAGTAGTAGTAGTAGTAGTGGTAGTGGTAGTGGTAGTGGTAGTAGCAATAGTAGGAGTTGCTGTTTCTGTTTCTGTTTCTGTTTCTGTTGCCGTTGCGGTTGCGGTTGCGGCTGTTGTGGTTGTGGTTGTGGTTGTGGTTGTTGCTACTTTGCTGCCTTTGCTGCTGCTGCTGCATCTACAGCTACACCTACAGCTACAGCTACAACGGCGACTACCGCAACTACAGCTACAACTACTACAGCTGCAGCTACGACTACAAGTGCAGCTACAACTACAACAACCGCTACAGCTGCAACTACAGCTCCGGCAGAAACCACAGCGCAAGCCTCCAGCCTATGCTTGCATTATTGTCCCTAAACCGTCGTTTCCTTTTCAGCGTTGGATGTAATCCAGCTGCTCGCGGCAGGCTTGACAGCATTGCACATTTGTCAAACACGCGTCAATTGCGTTGCATTGATGGTCCATACTGTCCACTACGACTGTGCCTTCTAGTTTGGCAGCGATCTTTTGGGCTTTCTGAAAGGTCTAACAAGGGAAGCCAAGTTCTGTCTGCACGTTTTGGTTTGCAGCTTTGTGCCAGTGAGATCAGTGGAAGTTTGGAATTAAAGCACTTTGCAACCAAGGAGTGTCGCCAACATTTGCTACTGGTCATCCATTAATCGTCTGATAGCAATCCTCGTATGCAAACAGGATGATCGAAGCAGATACGAAGATACGTATCGACCGGGGCTCGTGTGGCCTCGCTCAAACATGGCGCTTTTTCGATCAGTGCTCCGTGCTGCAAATGTGCCTGGGCTGCAAAGGCTTGAGGAGGTGCCGCCAAGGGCGAGCAACCCAGCAAGTGACCGGTCATACAGACCAAACACTGCAAATTTGACCCAAGCCGATTGCGCCTGTCGTGAGGCCTCGGGCATCAGAAGTGAGGCAAACCCTTTGCATTGACTCGTGACGATGGTTTGGCTTCGAGGTTCTCAGCCGAAGCCCATGCATTTTCTGTGGCCCCAAATGGTTGGTTTGTCTCTTGGGCAACAAGCAAGTCACAACAAGAAGTTCGGGGCAAATTTAGGGTTGGAGGCTCGGAGGGCTTGAAACACCTTGTTGACACGAACTACACGAAAGATGGTATTGGGTGTTTTTGCTGGTTGATTGCTTCATGTGAGAAGCTACATTCAGCCACCCCTGCTTTAAGCTATCACGACTGGCAAATTCAGGCGAACGGGGATTTGTTTACCCGTGCAATGTATGATCATATGATTGTCGACAATTGAGCAGTGTTTTTGCTCCTGTTGAAAGTTTCTGTAAAGCCAAGGCAACCCAACGACGGCCCTTTGGTTCGCTTCGGTATGGTTCGCTTCGGTTCAGGGCTTCACCAGCGCGAAGCTCAAGAAGTTGGCGGATCCCAAAGTGGGGACTTTGCTGGTGGCCAAGGAGCCCATCGCCAGGTGCGCGCCAGCGGCGCGCTCGCGCGCCGCGCGCATCGCGCTACCCGAACTACGCACCTGGCGTGCGGTACCCAAACGAAGGGAAGCCAATGGCAGAAAAAGCAAATGGGGCAAAAAACAGGGAATGAATTTCCTTCTTTGCAGAAGAAGAACATGTGCCAAAAGCACAAGCACAAGTTTTCTTGCCGGTTTTGTGTTGCAATGCTGCCACGCTCGCCCTTTCAAGACAGTCCCCGATGTATTGGAGACTGGTTTTTGATGGGGGTGTATTGTAGAGGTTACCTGGAATCACTAGATAACGCACGGCACCTCGCAGCCAGAACGCCATGACACGGGCGCAGCGCCAGTCGCTGGTATGATATGCATTCCCAGCACAAAGTGTTGCACTCGCTGGCTGACACTGCTTCGCAGGTCTTTTTCTGCACCCCGAGGTTATAGCTGTAACATCGTTTGATTTACTCAGCAGTCCGTGAAAACCGCTGCTTGGGTGAACTTGGACAAGTTGGAGGGGCTGGAGTATGCGTTGCTTTTGCGTATCCGCCCCGAGCTCCTGCAGACAGTCCCAACAGCAGGTGACTTCGTTGAGATCCACCCTTGGGATTAGAAGCGAACGCCAATGCTGCATGCTTGCCATGACATGTTTGTTGTTGGAAAACATTTTACATTTTGCTGATTGTGGTTTAGTGGGAAATCCCCACTTAACTGCTTAAATTCAATTGTTTGCTCTCCTTCCATCGTCAACCAAGATGAACTTGTTCAGAGACCCGGAAGAAGAGCAGGTATGGAGCTTTGTGGGCATGTTTTTGAATGCCAGAAGACTGGTGACCAGCTCTTATGATTGTGGGACCGGTCCATTTCATGGAAGCTGGCGTCCCTTGAGCAATGTTTCTAAATCGGGCTGATGCTGCCCGACTGCGTGGGGAAGTACTCCTACCCCCTTCATGCATCCGCGGCTTGGGAAAAAGCAACTTCACATGGCCAGGTCTGAAGTGGTATTTCAGCTCGAGCTCAAAAAGGACCAGTTGCGTCGCCAAGTTTGCTGACATACAGCGTGCTGTTTCAGGTTCCACCACGCATGGAATCACATCAATCATCCTTGCTTAGATATTGCTTAGATCATGTGCTTGGCAAGCACTTCCAGAAAGATCACTTCCTGCACTTGCAGAATGAGGATGACTTTCAGGTGCCGGGAAAGGGTATACTCTCTACAGAAAGAAAACAACGTAACTTCCTGCAGCAATTCGTTCCCGTCTCAATGCGTGTACCTAGAGGACTTCTTGCTGAGTGAGCCCACCGTCTACAGCCTCCAGGCGCGAAGGAAAGCCAAGCAACTCTCGAAGTTCCGCGAGTCTGCACGAGTCACATGTGGCTGTGTCTTTAGGGGAACCTCAAACTGGCTTCGGTTGTGCTTTTGGTTTCCCTGTAAATCCACGAAAAAGGGGGCACCCTCAAAAAAGACACACCCGTGCGCAGGTGACGGAGGACAAGCATCTGGATTTGGGGCTGCTCGGCGCATACACGGAGGCAAATATCGCACAAAACACGCAAGGTCCTTGTGGTTTATGAATATCTGGAGAGTCCGAGCATGCTTTTGCATCGAAAGCAAAAGGGATATTTGGCTGATTAGAGGTGTCCAGTCCTTTTTAACTGTTTGGGCATCAAGTACCGCGGAATGGTTACCATCCCCGGCCTAACTTGATTGATTATCAGACCGGACGATTCAACGGGAAGCCTCCGGCCTGGGTCACTAAGCGATGGCGACTAAGGACCCTGCCGGAAGATGAAGGCGGCACTGCCCGGTATTTGAGCCATTTGGACGAGCCCACCCTGAAGCCCACCATCGACGACAAGGTCGTCTTCAGTGCCATGGCAGAGACCAGCACCAAATTGGGGCTGCCCCAAAAAATAGTTCCGTTTGGTGGTGTCCCTTTTAAGTCAGCTCGCGCGGCAAGCAATCCGATTTTGAAAGGCTCAGGAGGAAGCGCTCCGAGGGAGGCAGGGCAACTTCGGCCCATGTCCACGTCAATGTGCTGAACTGAAGTAGCGGGACTGATCATCCAGGTTTTTCTTGCCTCAAACAGCAGGGAGAAGTGAATCTTCCAGAGTGAT